GCGGAGAACTGCATGTTGATGTGTCTTAAATTTGTCGTGGTAAGAGGTAATTGTACGAATGGCTTAGTTGAATGTTGAAGAGGCAAATGAGTTGGGGTTTGAGCTGATGATGGTCTCTACACCGTGAGTTTGATCGCTCTTATACTCACGAGGCCGCTGCTCTTGGTGAGGAGATCCTAGCTTTCATCAATTGACTTCGTCATAACTTAGTCGTACAAGGCAACGATGAGCGCAGTACAAACGCTTTCCATGCCCATCGATAATGATAACGTGAGGCTAGCCTTGCAGGTCTGAGCAGGTGACCCCAAAGACACCGTGCTTGGCAGCAGAATCGAGCAGGTGAGCTCATAGCGTCGAAGAACACGAGGAATGTTGCGGAGGTTCACGGCTATTTTTGGCATGGTTGCAGCGGGTTCGGCCTGTCTGAGCCACATCGAGCCTGATAAGCGAGATAATTTCTCCGAGACTTGCGGCTGGTTACATCGCCCAAACCGCAATCGGTCGTGATTTATAGCGGTCAATACTTCGGTGCAGCAATTTGTCCATGGTCCGGGGCGTGCGCAAGACATTGATAGATATGTGAGGGGTTGTCGGCGCCGAGGAACTTAGTGAGTAAATGGCAGTGGCGAGAGCTGCAACCTCATTGCTGGCAATCCCCGCCTGATCGCACGATATTCCTAGCAACGGGATTTGGAAATCCAAGTTTGCTCATGGCTCCAGAGGGTCCTTTCGTGCGCAACGACCCATCGTCGACACGTAGACAAGCCTCACCGTTCGCTTCCGTTTGAACCCCTCTCCGCGCAACTTGATCCATCTCTTTGAGGCCCAGTTGACGCTGATCGTCCATTTTCAGGTCTCATGTCATCGAAGAGCGCTATTGCTTCGCGATGCAACCGTCAGAAAACTGAGCACAGCCTCATCATACTATGGCTAACTTCGTCGCCTCCGAGCTTCAATGGAGCAATCAGGGATGCAACCAAGAGAAATGAGACGCCGGGCTGGAGGGCGACGTAAGGGCCTTCAGTGCTCTCAAGTTGCTGATTGTATGAGAGCCAGATGGAGAAGAGGCAGTACATTGCGACGCTGGTATAATTCTTCCACTCGGTTTGTCGTCGGATGCAGAAGCGCGGGATCGAAACGCTAGTTGCGCATGTCAACGACTTGTCAGAAGCTCTGCACCAAAGACGCCGCGGCTACGAGTTTTGGCTGTCACTTTGCTGTTAAGGAGGAGTCGAGGGAAATTCGCAGGGCATGAACCTTGCGCGTGAGGCCCGTGCTCGTTGGACCATCGCGTTGTCCCGACTCTTCGCGTCTCATGTCTTCACATCCGAGTTTCAAGTGAGGCACAGAAACACAATCACCCCTCAAGTCATTCTTGCGTACCTGGGCATTCTTGGCCTTACAAACAGCCACTTTTGCGACCCTGGCATCGCACACGCGGTAGTGGCTGAATGCAGGCGCCCATGACGGTCGCGGCCAATGGCCATGTTTAGGTGGGCTTCATCAGCCGTATCGTTTTGTACAACCGATGTTTCAAAGGGCCAGGCTTCAATTGTGCATGCCTTCGAGACTTCAGGCGTCGCGAAGTTGTTCCGCCATGGCCTGCTGAGGCCGACTCATCCAGCTTGGGAGCTGGTTAGCTGGCGGCAACTGTTTCGATTGTTATGCTATATAACTCTCTCAAATGCGCTCAACTGTGATTCTCGTTTCTCAGGCCGGTCCATCTTCATACTAGTACATTCTCTTCTTTTCAACCTTACAATACCCAAACGAGCTAGTCTCTTTCAAAGACAACCAATCATAATATGCATTTCTCAACCATCTTCGCTGCTACAGCCCTCATCGGCGCCGCTGTTGCGGAAAACCACTTCATTGCTGTCTCGAACAAGACTGGCGCTTTGGCTTTCTTCCCAGATAGCCTCCAAGCAGCAAATGGAGATACCGTCACTTTCCGCTTCTGGCCCAAGAACCACTCCGTCGCTCAGAGCTCGTTCGCACAGCCTTGCGCCCCTATGCAGAATGGCTTCTGGACTGGTTTCGTTCCTACCCAGTCAGCTGACGTCGTCTCAAACACGTCGTTCACCATGGAGGTTACCAACGCTTCTGCGCCTATCTGGTTCTACTGCTCCCAGGGCAAGCATTGTCAGGGCGGTATGGTCGGTGTGATCAACCCTCCGTAAGTCGTCAACGTCGCCTTCATAGACACAAAGCTAACATGAAGCAGCCGCACTGGTGAGAGGACACTTGCTGCATACAAGAATGCCTCAACGTCGGCTAAAGACAACCTTTCGCCCTCGACTGTTGCTGGAACCGGTGGCAAGATCAACGAGAACGGCACCGCAACATCTGGCTCACCATCCGCATCTGGTTCAAATCCTTCCCAGGCTACCGGTGCAGCATCGCATCTTGCCGGAAGCGCCGCCTTTGCCGGTCTCACGAGCTTCTTCGCCTACCTCCTGATCTAAGGATATGCAATATCGTTGAAAGAAGGAAACTGATACCCCGGAAGACAATTGGTGCGATGCTTGCTCGGGCAAGATCGTATCAGGATAATGTGCAACTGGAAGGGCGATTAGAAAAGGTTGCAGGGTTGAGTCAAGGATGGCATTTTTCTGAGATTGTAAATGATTAGTTGCGGTATTGCTTGATGGGCGTTGTACGATCAGATCAGATACAGAATGAACTAGTATGAAGTTTGAACTCGAGTCTTCTAATTCCCATGATAACCAAAATCATAAGCCAACATCAAGATAATGCAGGATGTTGAATGGGTCCAACAACGCCAAGTTCACAGGACAGCGTTGTGTCGTATGTTGTGACAGCTTTGAGGACCGAATGCACGCCAACCCACAGTTGCCGAAACATTTTCCACATCCGTTAAGTAGACTTTTGCAGCGGCAACGCTCGGGATGTGGAGTGTAAGCTGAGGCCGGGAGCACAGACATGTTCAAAATCCTGGGTGCTGTCGTACGAGTACAGGCGAGCGCGGCCGTCCGGAAGATTTCGGCAGCGCACGGGGTTTGATCTGGACGGCGCAGTCGGCAACCAAGTTCGGGACCGCGCAGAAAACAATAATGAACGAAGATGGGGGTTTGAGCAATTGAAACTGGGTCTTGAATGTATAATTGTTGTTCGTGATGATATGTCCGAGATAACTTCCAGAGATACTTCTCCCAAATGACCTCGGAATCATGAATTCTTTCAATGGTGTGTCTTCCCATCCATGTAGATGTATCTATCCTTCCATCCCTCACTTCTCGAGGGCTGCATAGTGATGCGCTGTGTGTTGTCCTTCAGCGCCCACTTTGTACCCTGGCGGTGTGGCTTGCGGCGTACAGCGCGCGTTGTGTGACCCTCCTATATCATAGTCCCTTTGCTTCCGTCCCTCGTCCGGAGCGTGTGTTTTCCCTATGTCTGAAGCGAGAGGCTGATTTGTCTTGTTTGTCCTTCATCTCTCGTGCACTTCACTGCACCTCGTAAAGCTCCATCGCCCTCTGCAGGTCCTTGAGGCTTGACTTGTCCCCATATGCCTCCTCGAGCATCTTGTTCCTGTCTTTCTCGTTGGCAACGCGGGACTCGATACCAGCAATCGCCCTCTCCATATCTTCTAAGCTGGAGCGCTCGCCATACATCTCTAAGAGCATCATGTTCTTCTGTTCTTGGGTAGGCTCGCGTGCCATGTGCACCTTGCGGTTGGCCTCGTTCAGCGCATTGGTGACACCAAAGCCTATGTGGCGATTAGCAGCGTCGAGCGTGTTGATTGTTCGACGGCTGGCCGTTGCCATACCAACGGCGATGAGTGCCATGGTAGGTAGATACCTGGAGGATGTTAATGTTGGTCGAGATGATCGTGTAGGACGGACATACCATCGTGCTATTCTTCCAAGTTTTGGGACAGCATGTGCTGAGGCAGTGAGTTGTGTTGCAGCTACACTTTCCATCGGAATAGCATTGCGAGCACGTGCTGAAGTAGTGAAAAGTCTCTGGCGGAGGAATGGCGCAATGCGGAACGACATAGTGGCGGTGTATGTGGCAAGGCTGAGATGTGTTCCTTGTTTGATAGTGTGGGCAGGTTTGTGTGGTGAACGTGTATCGTTTATAGGTACTTCGTCTCGTCTAATGCTTCGCTGGATGAAAGGATGATCGAAGTGTACTGTCGGCTAAGATGTTGTGGATGTATCGGCCGCGGGTGGTTTGTAGAGCACTGCCTGGTTGATAGATGTGACGGGTTGAGGTTCGGAGTTGTAACTCCAAGAAGCCGGGGAACATGTGAAATGTATAGACGGCAGCCTTTTGCGGGGAAAACAATGTCACGAGTAGGCTGTGCCATCATCTCCCCACCCGCATCCCAAACATCAGGCCACGAATCACAGCAACCAACCGTCAAATCACCCGTCGGACCCGGCAAATCCGATGCGTTTTCGCGTCAGAGCCACGGACCAAGCAATTCGAAGCTGCATCACTTTGAAATGAGATGCGCTGACGTACCGTGCTGTTGGAAGCGCATCTTCTCGGCCGCGCATGTATCGCGGCTCGTCGCCTGGTAAAACGTTCGGCATCAGGAACGGGAAGCACCAAGCTAGACGTGTTTGAGGACGGAACGAAAGAAGTAAGCCATGTGGGGTTAGATGGTGTATTGATGCGGTTTAGATGAATATGTCGTGTTTGTGGGGTGAGCCGTGGGCTGACGCGCGAACGACCGGGGATACCAAAAGAGTAAAGATCATTGATGTCATTCCGACCCCACCTTCTCACGAGAGCATGACATAAACATCACCGCCGTCCGCCTTCCACAAAGCCGCACATCTCCGTCGCTGAACTAATTGCACCAAAAAGAGCCATCTCAACGGCTTGGGGGACATCACACGATCTCAAATTGCGAACACATGACACGATAGTAAGCCGCCTTCGTCGTGTTTCTGCCATCTGTGCAAGTCGATGTGACAGGGCTAAAAGGGCATACTGTCAGGCAAAAACAAGCTATATATTGCAATAGTACGAGCTGCGAGCGAGGTTTGAACTCGCGACCTCTTCCGTACACCGAAATGTGAAGGAAGCATCATACCACTAGACTATCGCAGCGCTGTCAGGTTATGGAAATCTCCAAAACAAGACCATACAAGTTCAATGGAAACATATATCCAAAAAGCTCTTGAGCTTGTCACAATCACAACGTCTAGGAGTGCATTTCCGTGACCTCGGCATCTTACCTGGGTCGTTTGAAGCAAACATCTCTCAAATATACCAAACTTATCTGCAACGAATTTTCCTATAATTTTGTAGAGCAAGCCATGATTGAACAAAAAGCAACAAACTGGAGCAGGTTCGTAGAACATATACAATGGAGAATACTCTTACAGTTCTTCCCATTCTGAACTCCACTATAAGCGCGTTGCTGACTATCGACAGCCGACTGTGTATCCAGTACCACATATATAATAGCCAATTCATCGCCTCTATATTTTAATAGAAGTAAATCTGGCACAGAACTTGTCTCCAATCGTTCAGCATGGTTCCACTCAATTCAGCCTGTCAAATCCAGAACTTCAGCATGCCCGACGACACGCCTTAACCCAAAGTCCTTAATCACCTTTTCCCGAAAAACTTAGTGGCAAACGCGCATTGCACTTTCTCGAAGTTGGCAGGCCGCAAGTCGAAGCCTGTCACGGTCACCAGCGGTGATTCACTGAAGGGCAAATGTTTTCACCTGTTGTGTGGAGTGATATCGACCTCTTCACTACACGATGTGCTCAGTTCTCGTCTATAAGTTTTACACTTTCCCTAAATTCCCAACGACTCGCAACTCGACTAATTTCAAAAGTCCGACCGAGAAATCGTACAACCACCAACAGCCACATTCATAGCCGCAACCACTCACGTCCCACGAACCATGATGGACGGTCCATATCTCACATTTACCACGGATGAGTTCATCGCTGCTGCTCAGGCACTATCCGAAGAGAGCAAGGACGGCTCATATAATGTGAGCGATCCGGTTCACAGCACCTTCGATGGCATGATCAAGCAGCTGCGAGACCGTACTCCCGTCATCAATGACTGGTTAGCCGACAATGCCCTGCGCGATCTTGAGCCCAAACTAATCGAGCAAATTCTTGATTGGCCTTCAGCTTCGATGGCTGTAGACACTGAGTATGGAGCTTGTGATCCCGACCAAAACTCCGAAAAAGAATTCGATGACACCGGCTCTGATTCGTACTGGCCGGACGATACAATCGAAGACATACTCGAAATTCTGGCAACTCCTGACAAAAGCGAGCCTGTAACTCCCGAAAACGATTTCATGACTCAAATAATAGAATCTGAGAAATTGAAGAGCCTCAGCTTCACGATACATGAAATGGCCACAGCATGTGTCCAGAATGGCCCGTATGTGAATAAAATCCACGACTGGCCTACGTTTTCGAACATGATACAAGAACCGAAGACGCTCGGTTTCAGCTTGCAGAAGTATCTGGAGGCAAAAGACGCCCTGTATATGCTCAACTCGGCCTTCATTCAGGGCTATCTTGATGCAGAAGCTACTGGGTACTACAATAATGAAGCCGCCGTTAAAGCTGAGAAGTATATTGCCGCGATCAATTCCGGCGCTGTGGAGATGGATGCATGGGAGTCATTTCCAGCCGACGAGCCCGCTGGAATGTCAGACGAGGCATTCAATGCCATCATTGAGCGGTAGGACTGGGTCGAGGTTTTGGACATTCCTCATGATGACCTCCGATGTCCTCATTGCTGGTCCGACTTTGGCGATGCCGAAGATAGCTGCAAAGAGCCCATAAAGACCTCATGTGGACATCTTTACGGCCGAGAATGTCTTCGCGAGTCACTTAAGACATGTGTGTCTTTGTGTCCGAAGTGCCGGCAAGATCTAAGCAGTGATCAAATGCATGAGCCTGGGCATGATTAAGAGAAGATGCTACCATAAACAGGATCCACGGGTATGAACGAGCGATGGGACTGGTTGAAGCCGTCGCAAGAGGTACATGAGCGAGTTTCTATCGCGATACCACAGTTGGGTGAGAGCATGATCTTAGCTCTAAGTTGCACTTCTTGGTAGTAAATATGGCTAGATTGCAATGACACAATGTTATGAACACATTCAGATATGGTGATAACAATTATTCTTTCCCTTTCTGATGATGAAATGCTCAACATTCGATACATCTGCTAAGCTTGAAGTATTGGTAAGTTCAGTACATGTCTCTCCCCTCAACACATGCTGATTTGCTGCCTAGAGTATAGGCAGTCCAGCGCGCAATGACGTACACTTTCGAGATACCTCGATGCGCATTGTGCGACGACTATGTCTCGAGGGGTTATTTCACCCAGGCACTCTTTTCAAGTGACTGTGCATTCATCTCCCTTCGAACGTCCATCTAACCTTGGAACCCTTCGCAGTCGAACCACAGATTACATCATGCCTACAGACATAGATCTCTTGCTACATCTCCCATCACTCGTTTCATAGTCGCCTATCAACAACTCTTTACAGCATACAACTCAACTCACGGCCCCGCCTCGCCACACGCTCTGCAAATACCGAAAACACGCAATGAGTCAACAATACAAATCGACGGCCATAACCGACCCTGATAAAGAACCGCCCTTCACAGTCCATGAATTCCTTAGTACATGTGTAGGCTTGATGAACTTACCTTTCCAGAGCGGGGATGAAGAGTAAGCAGTACTTTTGTCGATGTTGGCACATATAAAAGAAAAGAAAATCGACATATTGGTCACTCTAAAGTCCTATCCTTTCTACATTCCTCATAAGATCCAAGAGTCTCCGCTATTTGAGGTTCTCCTTGGAAATTCCGCCCCAATCAAACCTCCTACCAAGTTTAGGTCAGGAAAACCTTCATCCTCCACCGAGCTTCGCTTCACTGCGGAGGAGTTCTTGGAGATATGTCAAAAGGTAGATCTCGAAACCTACTTGATAGGTAGTTGGGAAAGCCATTCATGGGTGAAGTTTAAGAGCATGATTGACACCCTAGCTCTTCGCCGTGTTAACATTTTGGACTTCTTGTCTAGCGTGGACACAGACGAGATGCTGAAATCTTGCGGAGTCTTGAAGACCTTGTTGCACACAGCCGACGTTTACGAGGGTCAAGTCTTTATTGACCGTTATGGTTTTCATGACGCGCTAGACGACGAATTAGGCTACTTCAAGTATCTGCATGTACCTCCATATCCTCCGAGTCCACATGGACTAAGTTTCGATCAAGGTCACTTCCTTCAATGGATGCAATCAGCAGAAGAATTCATGGACACCTTTTCATACGGGGACCCTCAGGAACAAACCAGCTACCGAATTTTGCATCAACGAATGCACGAACTGATGGTCAAGAACATCACTGTTGCAGCGTTCATGAATGGTCATAAACCAATGGGAGGAACTCCAGGCTCGATCATCTTCTAGTATCTCATTAATTCGACTGGAACGGATGGTACCACGTACTGCAACCTGTTCTTCGCGAACGTCGCCAGCGGTGGAGATGGTCATGCCTTCATAGCAGACTTGATGATCGCCAACGCACAGGCTCGGACACAGTCAACCCTCCTGTCGCATGAGAATGCGGTGCAATTTGTTGACGCCTTAACGAAGGTTGACGTCTCTACTATCGCACGAGACGACATGCGCTGCCCGCACTGTTGGGGCGATTTTGACCAAACCGAAGAAGGGGTGAACAACGAGCCTGTTCAACTTCCATACGACCATCGCCACTTTCTGGGTCGAGATTGCCTGATCGAGGTCCTTGTGTCGACTGGACCGTTGTGTCCGCTTTGTCGTGTAGATATAGTGGACCTCGCTGCTCGACTAGCTGAAATCGACTAGGCGAGATAGGTTTCCGAGAACACTTCAGTGTATTTCCATGAAGTAAGATCATCACACAGTTAATTTACAATCCAAAGACTTCCCACGTTTGTTTTGCTTCTCCTTGCAATGTGCTTGCTTGCGCTTGCGATGAAGAACATGCGACTCAAGATCAAGTCAGATTCATCAACTGACCTACAATGTACCTCTCTTAAGCTTTCGGTGACAGTACCCAATCACGCACACATTGTGATATCTCGTTCCATTGGAAAGCTTTCACATCATGCAAAAGAAACTTGTGACAAACACACTGTGAACGTGACCTGCACATAATGTTATTCCACTGCGTATATATTCTCTCCCCTCCATATCTAATCATACCAAACAAAACAACCAAAACCAAAGACGGCACAACCAAAACCAACACAACCCCAACCCTCAACTCACATCCTATACTAATCACCGGAGTCCAAAAATGAGTTACATCCACTCGAATCCCACCACACCAACAAGCATCATGCCAGACACGCCAACAAGCACCACGTCAGATACACCAACACTAAATTTCGATCAGACCGAGTTCCTCGCAGCAGGTGTTGACCTCGATGCCTCGGTACCACAGGGTGGTAGTTTCGTGGCTGAAATGTTTGTACGACTTCTGCGAAATGATAAGGATGCTCGTAGATGCAGATATACATCCACCCACATGGATCAACGGCCACATTCTCCCGCATATGGAGAACGCACCCTTCATCAAACTTATAGAGTGGGGATCCGAACACCAAGATATGGATGAGGATGAGGATGAGAATGACATGAGCTGGTACTTCGATCTCTGCGAACTTACCGTACCCGAGAGGTTGAGGGCTACATCCGAACAGCTGTACAATGCTGTGACGAACAGACTTATCATCGTCGATGTTGCGGAAGTCGCCCACGAGCGGTGTCCGAACTGCTGGTGTGACTTCGACGAGGATGTTCCAGGCGTGGACACTACACCTGTCAGGACTCCGTGCGGGCACCTTTTCATGGAAGGCTGTTTATTGGAGTCCTTGAAGGCTACTCAGCATGCCCGTTGCCCTATGTGTCGTCAAGACATGGTTACCCTTGCGCGCTAGGCTGGGTAGTAAGTAGCACACACGCTCATTCAACATCAATTGCTTTGCTTTTTTTTCGTCCTTTGCGGACCGAGGTACTTGCTGTCGTTTCTGTGATTAGCAACAATCAATGCTTCCTTTTCTGCAGAATC